CTACAAAGATATTCGCTTGCTGTTCTATACCCACAGTTTCTGATACTTGGCTCCTATACGAGTTTAGAATAATAAATCCACTGATCCATTAATCGTGTGTTCGTAATCTATTCAATAAACCTCCGGGCACCTATGCGCAATAATGCTAGTCTTCAATATCGCCTTGCGACAACGTCAAAATAAATATACTACAACAATCAAAGCATCGGTGAAAATTCTTCTGATGTGAAAGTGCAGAGTTCTTTGACGTTTCGGATAGTAATAGTGATAATTATAATAATATTGCACTAGGCTGTTTGAATCATTCTGGAATAATAATACTCCATGTCTGGGGCCCATAACTAGAATAGTTATCACGTTGACGTCTGTATTATTCAGGCCCATGCTTTCCACACGATAGGAGTTCTCTGACATGGAAGTGATCTATGGGCGAACAGTTACTTGCAGATGACTGAGGAATTTATAGGTTGAGTTGCAGTCTGTTGTGCCAGGTGATTTCCCCCGAGATTAAACAATGTCGCGGAGCTGCAAGTCCGGCCCAAAAACTTTGGTCAAGCGTTAATCATGGTCATTCACCAAATCCAGTGCTAGTCGCACAACCTCTGGTGTGTTCCTTCCCAGTCCATTGTGCCAAGTTAACCTCACTATCTACAAGCAAAATTTTCTTTGAAACCGAAGAAAAAACCAGTTACCATTGAATCTAGCAGGAGCAGTCGTTTCTATAGTAACGTCAACGCCGAAGAGACTAAAATAGTTACCACCGTGCCAATTGATATATAAAACGCAGGAAAAGCAGGGCAAAGTGATAAGTGTGATAAACGGCGGTCTGTGTCATCGTCGGCTTATTGTAACGACACGTTAACTTACTCAGAACTGCAAATCACTGCAATGAAGAGTGACTCGCGGAATTTTGGCTTCCGGAGTCCACAGATAGTACACCCATACAGTGACTATTGGCAGTCCTGGGTTTTTTTCAATGTCTATCCAATGCGATTCTGCAGCTCACTTAGATGCGCTGATCAAGGTATTTCGATTTAGGAAGCGCCCGACCGACATACCAGAATGCCCACGTTTCCCACCTTCCAAAGTAGTGCCTATTTATCCAGAACACATCATACTTCAGGCACATTAGTTTCACTTGCCTCCTATGCAAAACGATGGAAGCTCTAGTAAAGAGCGCTATACAGCAATTTTGTGAAGAAAATAACATCTTGCAGGATTTTCAACATGGCTTCCGGAGTGGACGTTCCTGCCTCTCAAATCTGCTGGCTTGTTTGGAAATCTGGACCAGGGCTCTAGAAGAGAGTTTTGAGGTCAGTGTCGTGTACATCGATTTCCGCAAAGCTCTCGATACTGTTCCGCACCAATGCCTTCTTCACAAATTGAACGCCATCGGCATCCGGGGAGATCTTCTGAACTGGATAAGGGCGTTGCTGGTTGGTCGGAAACAACGTGTCTATATCGGAGATGATGTCAGAATGGGTGAACGTGACCAATGGTGTGCCTCAAGGTTCTGTTCTGTGACCATTCCTCTTCATCCTTTATGTTAATGACAGCCTTCAGAAACTCTATGGCGGCAAAATAATGTTTGTCGACGACGTTAAGCTTTGGCAAGTCATTAAGGGTCTGAATGATCAGAGAACCCTTCAAGATAATCTACATCGACTGCAAGCCTGGTCGGAGAAATGGCTTCTAGATTTCAATGTGGAGAGGTGTGCCGTCCTTCATCTGCGTCCAACCAGCTCTCATTCAAATGAGAGCCTGAGGGCACACAACCTGAAAAATATAAGACTCCTCGCAGAATCTTTACAGGAGGATCTCGGGGTTTGGATACAGAACAACCTGAAACTAACACTGCAGTGCCACAAGTCTGCAAAAAAACGACATTGGAGTGCTGCATGCAATCAAAAGTGCGTTCTTAACCTTTGACCATGACCCTTTTGGGAGAGTTTACGGCACTTTCGTTCGGCCTTACTTAGAATATGGCATACAAGCATGGCGGCCATGGCTAGTAAAGGACCAGGCACGCCTCAAACGGGTACAACGCCGTGCAACAAAGCTGGTAAACGGTCTAAAAAGCCAATCCTACGCAGACAGACTGAATTGCCTTCATTTATTCCCTCTGTATTACAGGTAGCAAAGAGTGATCTTATCCTCGTCTACAAGACAATACATGGTCTGGAGCGTGGACTTAACTTTCTGGACATGTTTCAGTTGCACCTTCCACCCGATATTCGTGGTCACTCGATAAAACCACGGACAAAAATATCTAGGCTGAATCTTTGTTCTAAATTTTTTACGTGTCCCGTGTTTTACGGCGACTTTCTAAAATTGAAATTTGAAAGTGAACCTGGGCTAAATACCCCGCGATCCTCGGGAATCATTTCCATAAAACTCTGCTACTCAAATGAGTCAAGTGCCGTTATAATTGCGAATATTTTCATTGTTCGTGTACAGTTATTTCTAACAAGCTAGCGTGTAATCAACAGGGTTTTGAAAGGCTTTGCTTATTATCCTTACCAAATAAACTGATTACACCGAATACTCATTCTTTCACGAAGCTTCAGGTGCATGAGTATCAAATGCGGCATTTTTAACCGGACTATACAATAGCAGGAAATTGACCGATGACAGCCTGCTCAGGAGCGGAAAATGAGAAGGCGAAATTATTAGGAAAATCTGGTCATGTGTAACAACCAGGAAGTCCAGCCTCTTTTGAAATTCTGACAGATGAAAGCAAGTCGAACGAGGAGACAACTGGTTAATTGAATGGAAATTCAAGCTGCACTGTAAGAAAGCGCCCAAAAACGTGAGACTCACATTTACGTACACCAATGTACGGAGTGTGCCACATGGATGAATCCTGTACAAACTGAGCCTACCATAGGTTCGGTGTAACCTCCTAAGCTGGATTTCCGGATTCCCAATCCACCCTACCCTCGTTGTCCGCGTCGGCGGCCAGCCGTTAACGGTGGCTGTAGTTAAAAGTGGCGTTCACCAAGGTTTCATTATTGGCCCTACCCTGATCCTTATACACTTCAACGACTGCGCTAATAAACTGACCTGCGATTTCGCTATGTTCCGTTGATTATATCCTTTCAGTTCAGTTCAGTTTATTTGAGGGAAATATAGGTGTTAAACCGTTGAACTCCCTATTTGTTACAAGGAGGCGAACAATAAAAAAAATTTGAAAATGGAAACATCAAACGGCTACAGAGTTTCTCCAGATTGGCAACGTTTTGTTAGCCAGACAGATAAACGAATTGGTCCAAGAGTTAAAAACGTTAACGTTACTAAATGTGCTGTACAGTAGTCTGTCTAGGGATAGTTGGTGCTATCTCAGTTTCGGAGGGAGACGAATTGAATGCCAACACACATTCAACAGACATGGGACAATAATAAAAAAACAAACGTTACTGAAATACAGGAAGTAATATAACAACATTAATAAACTGTTCGAACGAAATGCTAGACAATCTGTCAGGTGGCATTATGACGATTGGTGGCAATCTGGTCCAAGTTGCGCTTAAAAGCCTCGACGGAGGTGGACATGACGACACCTGCAGGCAGAGCATTCCAGGCCTCGATCACTCTGTTTGAAAAGAAGAACTTCCGAGTGTCCAGCTTGGCGCCAGTTACGCGTAGTTTAAGTGGATGACCTCGGAGGTTCGTTGTGGTCGCTAACTCAAAGAAATCAGTAGGTACGAGACAGCAGTCCTGGCCGCGCAGTATACGGAATGTTTGTATAAGTTCGCCTCTTAGCTGTCTGTAACTCAGTGGAAAGAGGCCGAGATTGGACAATCGGGTTTCATAGGGTAGTGAACCCTGTCCACTTACGAGTTTGGTTGCCCGCCTCTGAACTTTCTCAAGGATGCTGAGATCTTTAGAGGTCCACGGTTTCCACGCCTGAATAGCGAACTCTAGCTGTGGTCGTACGAAAGTCCGAAAGACCTTAACGAAGCAGTCCTCATCGAAGGTAGAGAAAGCTCTCTTAACAAGATAAAGGACTGACATCGCAGACTTGGCTACCTTGGAGCAGTGGAGCGACGGTTTTAGAGAAGCCGTTACCCACACACCCAAGTCCTTCTGGGCGTCTACCTCCTGCAGTGGTTCGCCATTTAGGTAGTAAACCCTCCGGCTTTGAGATCGGGTCCTGCCGACTCGCAAAACATTGCACTTAGTCACATTAAACGGCAGAAGCCAGTACTGTGACCATTTCTCGAGTCGGGTCAGGTCTGCCTGCAAGCGCTCTTCGTCCAATTCAGTTCGGATGACGCTCCAAAGTTTAACATCATCAGCGAACATGGCGACATCACAATTCAGTTTACTGGCGCAGTCGTTGACGTATATAATGAATAAGGTAGGGCCAAGAACGGAGCCTTGCGGAACACCGCTTTCAACCGCTATCTCCGCCGCCTGCCTGTCGCCGACGTGGACGATTTGAGAGCGACCGATCAAGAAACTTTGTATCCACCTCAGGAGATTACCGCTTATGCCTATCCGGCTTAATTTGTACAGGAGACGCTGATGTGGTACACTGTCGAATGCCTTCTTAAAGTCGACGTAGACTGCGTGCACTGCATTGCCGCCATCGACTGCCCGGGTCCAGCGATCTAAACAATATAGTAGATTCGTCACGCATGATCTGCCTCTACGAAATCCGTGCTGGGCATCGCATAGCAGATTATGCTCTTCTAGGAAGTGCATTATTTCTCGCTTTATTATTTTCTCCATAATTTTGCAGCAAATTGAAGTAAGGCTGATTGGTCTGTAGTTGTTTGCTAAGACCTTGCTGCCGCCTTTATAAATTGGCGTGATCCGCGCTGATTTCCAATCGGAGGGCAAATAGCCTGCTTCGAACGAAGCTTGGAAGAGCATGGACAGCGGTTTTGATAGTTCTCCAGCAAGTTCCTTCAACAATTTTGGCGGTATGTCATCCGGCCCAGGTGATTTAGACTCATTCAACTTCAACAGTTCTTTGCGAACAATAGCTTCGGCGAAAGAGGCGTGCTCAATCGTTGGCCCGTCCACTATGTCGCAGTCGGGAGGGAGAAATGCGCTTTCCTTCGTAAAGATGGACTTAAAGAACTGTGAAAGGTGCTCTGCCTTTTCTCCGTCTTCACTGAGTTCTAGGTCGTCACTACCCTGCCAACACCTGGCCGCACCTTGTCGGTGTGGCCAGGTGTGGCCAAGCTCGGCCATGGCCACGCCAAATTTGAAGAAATTTCGGAGGACCTCCCAATCGTGTAGGTGACCACTTCTGCATTGCAAAGTGCTAAATCA